ATATATATATATATATATATGTGTGTGTGTGTGTGAATATATGTTATATATATATATGAATATATATATATATATATATATATATATATATATATATATATATCGCGCGTGTGTGCAGGTGTGAGAGTGTCGCGCAACAGGTTGACAAAGGACTAAACGTACAGACGGTCTGTTATTCTCGCTTTGACAAGCCGAAACGATCCCTTTTGACTGCGCGCGTAGATCCCGCGATCGAGATATCTCATTTCGTACTCACATGTTACTCTCGCCGCGGTTGCTCCAATTACCGGCCTCAAATGAAGCCGCGATGTACAATTCGGAAATAATAAACCGTGTCCCTTCACGCAGACCTCAAACGTGCATCGACGAGAGTATACACACTAAGAGAAAAACATGTAAGAAATGAAAGATGTTTATCTTCAGTTGGTGCTAACAACATATTACTTGTAATACAAAACATTTTTCAAGCAAAATAATATACATTTGCTCGAAGCCTTTCATGAAGGCGATTGTTTATTCCACTTAAATAAAAATATTTATAAGTAAATATGCTATTAATAATCACCGAATAAATATTTTTCTATTTTTTAGATGTTTCTTCTCTCAGTGTACCCTCTTCGAAACTGGCTAGAAAATCGTTTCGGTTTTTTCGATCGAATCTCAGTGAAAATCACTCTTCTAGCCAAATGCACGGAGAAAAAATACTCGAAAATGTTTTTCTGGAATACAAAGTTTATTCATAGAAATCAGCTCTTGGTCTCTTTCGCAGAAATAAACTATATCCAACAAATAGATTTTCAAGTTATTTTTCTCTGAGTGTGGACTCCCGATGACCGTCTTTCGAAAAGCGAACGAAAAACTGTATTTAACGGCTGTCGTCCTCTCATTTCTCGATCACGCACGTTACACGCGGAGGCAGCTTTCCGTCCGCTCTCTAAAGCCACTCTGCGCGCGAGAGCTTCTGCTCGATGCCGAGAAGAACCGAGATTGCACAGCGCGATGTGTTCGAAGCGAACACGAATTGCGAGTCACCGCATACAAAAAACGTACAATATGCATAATGCATCGGCCAAAAAGTCGAAAGCGAATAATCGGGCGTCTCCAAAATAATTCGAGTCGATTTGCATAGGATTTGCGCGATCCTTCTTGCCGGGAACGCGACCGCCGTGCTTTTACGACCGCGTGAAGCGCCCGACATTCGCGGGACTTTATCCGATTCTATGACGCGGAAGAGGATTCGCAGACGACGGAGCACGTATTGCGCGAGCTAGAGATGCGTTTAGCGAGAGATCGATCCCGAGACAGGCGCCGTCAGTGACTGGAAGCGCTATTGTATCACACGGAGAAAGAGAGATCCTGGTTGAATTAACATGACATATTAGGTTAAGCAAGTTCTGGCGAAGGTAACAGACTTTCTGGTTATTATAACGAGATAGTCTGGTGTAATAGATAGATAGATAGATAGATAGTGTGCAAACTAGAGCATTTAGTTGCAATACTGATTAGAGTTTGGTTACTACGTATGTAGTGATAACATTGAAGTGTCTGGTTGTTGTGAGAAAAGAGCATGCTTGGATTAATGCAACATGTTTGGTTAAGGACTATTGGTTGAACCGAACAGAACTTCTAGTTGTTATAATCGCACATTCTGGTATTCGACGCCAGTTACATCACAGATAGACAATATCTGACAGATTTATCAATTGCAGAAATAGCGTAGCGCGTAGACAGACGAATCATGATCCGTCTCAGCTTCAAATTCCACCAGAATAATATCGAATCTGTTAAATGGACAATTCCAAGCAAAATAATCATATATTGATATAAGAAAACAACTTTCCTTAAGAAAACAACTTTCAGTTTAAAAAGTAATACAATTTTCAATATTGAATATGAATCATGATCCGTCCAAGATTCGAATTCTAATAGGATAATATCTATTAAATGGACAATTCCAAACAAAATAATCATATATTGATACCTTAAGAAAACAACTTTCAGTTTAAAAAGTAATACAATTTTCAATATTGAATATGAATCATGATCCGTCCAAGATTCGAATTCTACCAGGATAATATCGAAATCTGTTAAATGGACAATTCCAAACAAAATAATCATATATTGACACCTTAAGAAAACAACTTTCAGTTGTTAAGAAACAACTTTAAAAAGTAATACAATTTGTAATATTGAATATGAATATATGATTTTATTATTATAACCAAACTTATTTTAACCAGAACACATATAGTCAAATTTGTCCTTACCTTAACCAAAATTTTAGAGTATTGAGTTAAGTATGAGGAAAAATTATGTAAGGGAATAAAAATGCTGGGAATAGATAGTGTGTAAGTGAAGGCGAAACAAGACGTTAGATGGGAAAGCAGGATTCAGGGCGGAAAAAGTGCATAGGTAATGGAGATTACAACGTCATAAGGAATGAGCAGTTAGAGTAATGCAGGTAATGCAGGCAAGCTCAAATTAGTACGGTAATGCAAAGGAAATTATGGGTAAAGGAGATTTATAATAGATGGTAACAGAAGATAGAAGTATATATAAGGAATGGAGGAAGAAGAAATAAGAAATAAAAAGGAAAGCTTTGGGATAAGCTTCATTGGGTGGGATAAGGAAGCAAAATAAAGGTATAAGGTAAGAAAGATGGCAGAAATACTCGTGGGAGAGATGCTGTGCAAGTAAATCGGATGAAGTGTAAAGAACAAGATTCCTCTTGGTTAAGAAAACCCTTTCTTAGCTATGTAAGCTGAAGGAAAATATACACTCTTTGTATCCCGAATTCAGCTTAATTCAACCAATTCTCTTTTTCCGAGTAGAGTTACGTCAAAAATGTCTAATAAAGTATGCGCCCGATAAAATTGGTGGACTATCGTGTGCGGAGTCGTTCTGTCTGCTGCGCATTTTGCCTAATTTCTGAAACTTGCCGACGTTTCGTGGCGCCGTACAGTACCGGTAGCGCGGTACAGAAGTTCCTCCGAGCAATTCCGTTCCTGCCGAACTTCCTCGGCCCGCGCTCGCGACTTCGCGGGAATTTTGCAGAGCACACACATCCAAAAGATTGCGACTCGCGGCTGCTGTGCACACGGAGAAGACGTACGCGCGAGATACTTGCTTATGCACTTCGTACGAGTACATAGTGAAACGTTGTGGCAGGGAAAAGCATCTGGCGGAAATAAGATCTCCGCGAGAATCTTGCAAGAATCGTTAAGAGTGCCGTGCGTGTCTCTCCATCGATGTGGACACTCGCTCTTGCAACACTTTTTCATTGCACACTGTACGACGGATTGTTGTTCGGTGTTTGGCAGAGAAGTTTGGATGTAGCGATTGCGATTTTTCAAGGAGGACTTTCTCAAGGGATATCGCGTATCGTGTCCGTTGCCGGGAAGTGATCGTTGGTACGTGCAGTTGAGCGTCGATTATCCAACTCAATTGGAAGTGTCGAGTCCATAGATGTTATTTGACAAGAAGCGCAAGTGTGATCGTTGATCTTCCGTTCGACGCGCGCGACTCAACGAAAGTTTCGACGTTCAATTTTCCACGATGGGTCACAAATAATGCCACGAATGGTATAAAATTGCCATTATCCGGCAAGACTTTGCGATGGACAAAGTGACTTTGACCTCATTCCTTGTAATTTTTACCAGAAAACAATGTATGTTCGGTCGGTTTGCGCACTTTTTTTATGGAATGAAGTTGCAGCACTTCGAGTTGTCACAATTGTTGCATTCAGCACATTATCTCTCACGTAATCTTACTTTAATGAAATATATTAGAAGTACTTCAGAGAATAACGTTTTCTTTAAAATCAACTTCTCTTTCTAAACTTATTGTCACGTCATGTATCGATATTTCGGCGCTTGTCATAATCGATTTTTGCGCGTGCACATCGGGAATATTGTTGTGGACTTGTTTGGAATGAATTCCGATCAGTATAATTCAGTTATCCCCTAGATTTCTATTGTACTTTCTAGAGAATTATTTCGACCAGAATCCAATTCCGAGCAAGCACTTATTCACTACAGCACTTCAGAAGTGACTTCTAATTGTAACAACTTGAGGTGCTGGCACTTTGTTCGTTAAAAAGCAAGCGAACCGTTTCTGAAATGTTACCTTAGAGAAACTTCCCTTAATCTTGTATCCTAAGGAAAGACGACACGATGTTCTACTGATCTCGCGCATTCGCAAAATCGACGCTCGCACGACGTACCATGCAACACGACAAAGGACAAAGACAATCGCTAGAGTACAGAAAGAAAGAAAACAGAGGAAGAGAACCAGAAGAAGAGAGGCAGCGAGAGACACAGATCAGTGAGTGAGAGTCACAGAGGCATACACAGAAAGAGACAGAAGTAGAGAGAGATAGAGAGACAGAGAGAGAGAGAGAGAGAGAAAGAGAGAGGTCTTACACCAACCAGGGTTTCACAAACCAACGTCTATGACAATACGAGACAGTATTATGTACACAGAACAGCGAGCACACGAAGCAAAAGACACGCTAACTGGACGACGTAATATAAGATAAACGAGACTAGACCGAGACTTAACCGGCAGCATGCTACTTACTAGCTTGGGCGGCGGTAGCGGCTCGATTTGACGCGGATCGACTATCGGAGGATGATTTGGATGGATCATCGCCGGCGGCTGCAGCCGCAGCTGCTGGATGCCCGCGGGCCAATTTTGCCTGAGCCTCGTTCGCACCTCGGCACCGGCTTAAATCTTTAACACGCTCCGGCCTGGCCGCAGCGGCAGCGCCCGACGTAGGTAGGTGATGGACGGTCGTATGAACCGAATGCTTTATCGGGGGTTTTACGGCGGTACTTGCGCTAGTGTTAGCGGTAGTGACGGTGGTGGTGGCGGTGGTGGTAGTGGTGGTGGTGGTGGTGGTGGTGGTGGTGGTGGTGGTGGTGTTAGTGGCGGTTATGG